CGTGATGGGGACCACGACGGTGTCACTCCTCGAGAAGGTCCCGCGCTCTGTCGGTTGTAGAGGGGCGAGGCGGTTTGCGTGCAGCTTGACTGCCAGAACCGCACAGTCGGTTCATTGTGGTCGCTCCGTCGGCATCACCCGCTGCGGTGGTGTCCGCAAGAGCCGCAGCGCCCATGAGGACGGCCTCGTAGTTGTCTGGCAGCTCAGAACTTTAGAATTTTTGCCCTTCAGGATTGCACTTGCAGCTCGACTGGCGCAGCAACCGCCCGGCATGGTTCTTCTGCACGAGTGCAGGCACCGGAGTGCCCCAGCGACGAGGCTCATTAGCTGCGGTGACTTCCACCAGGCCTGCAGTGGGCGCGGTGGTGGCGTGGCCTTCTTGGTGCGCCACACCTTGCCGTGAGAGCGCCTGTCGCTGCTGGCACCAACTGCGTGGAGAGCACTGCCTTCCGCGTGCGCCCACCGGCCTGCCCCAGCATGTACGTGATGAAATTATGTAGCCTTCCCTGGAAATCGCTCACACTGCTCACTTTGCGAGCACCGTTCGTCGCCTTGGTCTTGCAGCGCCTATTGCGGGCAACCTGAATTCACACCATGAGCTGCGGGACGGTCGCTCAGCATCAACGACGGCAGGAGAGGACCTTGCCACCACCCCAACCGGCATGGACTCTGAGTTGTCCGACGACCCGGCACAGGCAGCGCGGATCAGCGGCCGCAGCGTCTCGTTTCCCGACGTGACTGCGCAACGCGCACTGCGTGTCTCCCACTTGACGTCCAGCCGCTGCATGCAGTCGGACCACCATCTGCCATCACACACTGCAGGGACGGAGGACGGCATCCCGCGACAGGCAGGCATGCTGCCACTATGGAAACATGCCGTCTTTTCTCTGCGTGAAGCCGACTGGAATGCTTCCACCTCGGCGCATGCAACGTTCCTGGCCACATGGTTGGAGGTGCACTGAGGCACCGTACGAGCGGCAAGACGCGCAATCCCGTGCGGCAGCCGTGACGGCTCCAAAGGAATCACGACGGACGGAATGGAGCATGCCGAGTCCAATGCAGCGGCAGCATGCAACGCGCACATTGCCTCCGGTCGAGGCAACCTACCCCGAGCTTAGGCTGTCCGCAAACGGGAGGGCCGCAATCATGCCCTCTGCGGTGGCTTCTCCATGCTGCTAGTGGTCCGTGCGAAACAGCTTGGTGCCCTGTGGAGCCCAGGCCTGTGATGCTCCGATGCATGGCGGTGCCACGTCCCCGCCCTCTGGGATCGGCTGTGCTGCGGTACTCTTGGGGCTGCGTCTGTGCTCTGCCTCTGCAGCAGGCAGACCGCTCGTCCGTCACACTGTCCGACTCTCACGTGCTGCGATCCCCACTGTTGTCTGCACACTTTTGCTCGCGTGCCCCTGGTGACTGGAATACGGATTGGCCCTTCACGCCGTATGCGCCTGACACGTCCATCCGCGACAGTTTGCATGGCATGGCCCCTGACCCCGGCGGCGTATTGAGTGCGTTTCTACGCCATCTTGCACCCGCTGTTCGCACAGAACGATGAATAACACTTCCCTCGCTGAAGGCGGCCTGCGAAGTTTCTGCGAAACGAGGAAATCATCTCCATCCGCAGACACGGGAAGAACGCATGCCGCACGGAGAGTTGCCGACCCATCTCGCTGCTCTCTGCCCTGCTAGGGGTGTGCGAAGGACTGGTCCACCGCCGCCTGTCAGCACTGCTGGCACACCACCGACGTCGCCCTGGATCCACGCCACAACGCACGGCCTCCGACGTGGTGACGCCTGTGAGTGACGAAGCGGCACGAGGGCTGAGCGAGCGCGTTGCCGTGGATTGCGGGCGTGGCAGGGGCGGCGTCCTGCGCTGCGCCGTCGCTCTCGCCGCTTTCTCGAGGTCCCGACCGGCATCTCGACTGCGTTCGACACCTTTGGCGATGGGCGAGTGCTGGCTGTGCTCTGCGGGCTCCCGCGCCTGGGCCGTCGCACCCAACGCTGGTAGCGCAATCATCTGCGAGGCGGCTGTGCTTGGGTGAGTGCTCGCGAGCAATATTCCCGACAGCAGCTTCCCCCAGCCGTGGCAGCCCAATGCAAGGTCGTGCGGCCCCAGCTCCTCCACCGCCACGTGGATGGACTGATGCGCCGCCTGTACAGCATTCCCTTTGCGTCGGCGTTCATGCACGCTGACGACCGCACGCTTGTTTCCTTGGGTGTGGACATCCTTGCCTGTGGTGCGGCAATGCAAGCTGCCGTGTCCGTTGTGACCACATGGACTGCCGAGCACAGCCTGAGGATCAGCGCGGACAGGAACGGTCCGCTCTGTTCTGCATCGCTTCACACCGACTGTCTGACGAGGACACGGCCGACCATCGTCTGGGCGGTGGTAACCCACGCGTCAAACCCCACCCACTGCTTCTGCTTCTGCTTGGCAATGCGATTGATCAACTTATTAATTTTGTTGTGCACGTCACCGCCGCTGCAGAGCAGACCGTGCCACGCCGCCTTCAGCTGCGGCTGGGCGCAGAGGCTGGGGCGTCCCAGTACAACATGCGATCCTTTCTGGTTTGATGCGTCCACAGTGCGTTGCACCACGGCGGCGAGGCAATCGCACCGTGTCCGACCCCAACCCACTTCCACAGCCTGGAAGCGCGGCACCGCGACAGCTGCACAGCATCGCTCGGTCCACGCGCATCAGCGAAGGATACTTCTGTCCACCTGGCCGCCAGTTCAGCACCGCTGCGGAGGAACGTTGGGTTACGCGCACCCACACAGCACAAACGCCTCACATTTCTTTGGTATATTGAGGACGTGCGTGGCGCAGTATGCTCGGAAAAAACACCTTCGTCAATACTTGGGAAGGCAGCGACGACCATTCCGCTGCCGAGAGATGCCGTCCTCAAGGAACTGCGACGCGTCCGCCGCCACATGGGGATCTTCCCGCACCACATCCGCGCCCCTCATGCTGAGCACCGAATTTTCGTCTGCGACACTGTGAGCTGCAGCGGGGCGGGCGTCTTCCAGCCACGGCACGCCAACGACGCCCTGGACGGTGTCAGACGATCGGCCCTTGAAGCGGCCTGCGCCTCCCTGGGCCGTATGACGCAGGCCGCTGGACGGACGGCTTGTCGTCTCTCGCTCAGCATGCATTTGGATCCGCGCCGCCGCTTGACTCCCCGGACAGCCGCGCTGCCTGTGGAGCCTCACCGCACAGCCGCTGGTAGCCTTGCATGCTCCTGCCGAGCGGAGTGTCCTGTCACTGAGCATGGCCACAGAAAATTCCCAGTTCCCCGCCTGGCAGCAGCATCCCAATCGCCCACACGAGTTCCTGTAGCCACAGACTCCCTCTCGGCGATGGAGTCACTCCGCCTTGGCCCGGTGGCGCTGCAGGACGACGTCAGCGAGGGGATTTGTACCGTGCCGCATTCACTGGTGGATTGAGGTCACACAGCTGGCTTCACATTTTCCCTATGGCACCACGGAGTCCCACGCAACGTGAAAGCGGACGCGGACACCATCATGGCACGATCCCTCCCGCAGGACTGCGCCAATGCCTGGCACGTGGGCTTTCTCATTGCAGTCAGGCGACTCTACTGGAAGGATGTGCAGGGGGCACAGGAAGGCGCGCACACCGCGTGACAGGCGCCTTTCGCTGTGGCGAGGACTCTATTCCTGGTGTTGACCTGGACATCGGTCCCCGAGTGACGGCACCGCGCACAGGCGCGATGCGACACCTGCCCACTCTTCGACAGGCCTGCACGCGCCCTGCGGATCACAAGGAACCCTTCATGTCGGTGGTGCCGCCCCTCCCTCACTGCGGTGAGCGGCCCGCCACTGCCTCCGCCAGAACCTCTTCCCGACGTGAGCACCGCAACTCCTTGTCGACCGGCGAGCGGCGGATTGACGTCCTCCTGCCCAACCTGCAGCAGAGTGCACTTGTCCGTCCACAGTATGAGGGCACATGCCCGACGTGCTCAGCTTGGCGTTCCGATAGTTTGCGAGGGCCTCACATGCGGATGCCACAATGGCGCCACCGTCTTCTTAACAGGCGCATTGCGCGCAGGTCACCACCGAAGTTGCCAAGCATGCCAGCAGGCAAGACACGCAGGAAGCACAAATGCGGGTACTCAATATGGAACAGGCTTTTCCGCCACCGCTTCATCACAGACGCCACGGGCTGCTGGTCCCACGGCGGACCACGAGAGGGTCTGCCTCGTCCACTGCGGGAATGCCCGCGTCGCTGGGAATTGGGACTGCGACTGTTTGTGACTGCCCCAGCCCGCACAACGGCCCGTATGAGACGGAATACTTGCCTCTTGTCTGCAGACAGTCCCTTTGCTACTCACACTTTTTTTCCACAAGATGCAACGAAAAAATTAGTAAATTGCTTTTTTGATGAATACTGGCCGCACCTTCCGTGGAACAACAATCCACGTGGTGTGCGGGGATCTCTCATTTTTGAGTGTTACTTCGCCTTTGTGTTTCTGTGGGCTCTGGATCCTCTTGCGTGTGTGTGTGCGCACCCTCCGTGAGGGGTGCCGACACGACGGACTGCTCTCGCCGTATGTGCATGCGTGGAGCCTTGTGTGCCGCTCCTGTTTGCTTTTCCCTCTTTCGTCTGTGTGTTGGTGTTGTGCACTGTATTTTTTTTTTTTTTGCGGCTTTTGCCTTTTGTTTTTACTTTCTCTGCTTTCTGTTATTGCCGTTTTATTTATGATGCGCGGGGTGTTGTGCTTTGTTTGCCCTTGTACTGGTCCCATCTTCTCTGTGCTGTTGCTTCGGGGCTTCTGCCAGTTGTTACTGTGCGGTGGCTTTATTTGCCGTAGCTGCCGTCTTTCTCTTTGCTCTCTCACGCTCTTGCAGCTCGAATTTACACTGTTGAACAACAATACTTCCGATGATGTGCCGTGTGTTTTGTCTTCTGTTGACGCCTGCACTGCTTTGCTGCTGCTCTTGTGTGTGCGAGACGCAGAAGCAGCGTCAGGTGGAATCGGTGTTAAATGCGGTGCGTGCGGATGTTGGCAACCCGTGGGAATCCATCGTGGTATAACTGCTCAGATGCAGCTGCTGGCTTGGAAATTATAGTTTGCGACAGGGTACTCGAAATCTTTACGTCTGATGAGGTTCAGAAGCCTACCGAAGGAGGTACGATGGATGAAGGTGTTGTCTTCACGAACAACGTTCCTGCGGACCCTTTGCTCACGGTGGAGGAATGGTGGGAGGATGTCGTGGAGAAGGAGGCGGTCACAGGTGAAGTTGTTTTGGCCACAACTCCCGGAGCAGGACGAGGGGGAACGGCAGGAGCACAGACAGGGGAAGTAATCGGGAGTCTGCCGAAGATGGAGAAGTGGAAGAGGCTGCTGTGCAGAGTGCACCAACTCTCAGTTCAGAGAAAAGAGCTTTGCCATCGTCAGCGATAATCATGCGGCATAACGTGCTGAGGCGTGTGCGGCAGGAGGCCATTGCCCGAGGTGGCGATGAGCGAGGATCAACGTGAGGGTGTAGCTGCTGGTGGGAAGCACGCAGCACCCCAACTGCCCGCACCGCGAGCACCAACAACACCGCCACCAGAAACAGCAGAGGCAGCAGCGGGAAAATTACCAAAAAAATCACAAAATCTGCGGGGTGAATCAGCAGCAGAACTGTCAAAACCTGCGGCACCAGCAAAGGAAGCAGGACAAGTGACCCATAATGCACCGAGAGCACAGGAGTCACTGCCACCGAAGGCGCCCGGCCAACCTCAAAACAAGAAACGAAGATCCGACATTTTAGCACAAGAAGAAGCACTAGCGGGTTGGAGTCCGTGTACAGCGCAACAACCGGACGTCCTCGCGAGCCGCCTCCATACTCAGTAGCTTCAGTTCGCGGTGTTTCTGTCAATCAAGAGCAAGCAAATCTATTATCTCATTCTACAGGTGGCAGTGCGTCTAATCCGGGTGCGGCAAATAACCTCACTCTATACAACACTTTTGGCAATCGTCAGCCATCTTACGTCACAATACCGCACGCGGATGGCTGTCACGAAGCCATCTTGGGCGGCGCGCGGGAAACAGGACTGGAAGCCACGAGTGATGCGGCTACGTCGGGCGAAAGTGACGGCAGCACCGCGGTCTCCCACACCACCTTCCCTCTTTTGCTTCTTCCTCTTGTTGTGTGTGCGGCTGCTGCTGCTGTGTCCGCGTGAGAGTGAGTGTGAGAGAGCCGTGCACCGCCCGCACACACACTCTTCCTTCTCTCTCTGTGTGTGTGTGTCCCCTTGCATGGACTCTCGCCCTCACCTCACCCCACGAGGCACACACAATAATGTGCCCATTGTATATATGCATGCACACCCATGCAGGCCCGTTGGTGCTCTCTTTTGCACGACACGCACCGCTGCCGTCCTGCCTGGCTGCATGGGCGGAGCACCGTAACTCTTTTATTTTGTTTGCATTGAGTGGGCGATCTCTCTCTCTCTCCCTGTGTGTGTGTGTGTGATGATATGAGTAATTTACGTGTGTGCTATCTGCCTCTCTCTGCCGTTGCTTTCTCTGGACTCTTTTGTGTCGCACAGCTGCTCCGTAATTATAGGTGCTGACAAACACAAATGCGCAGACACGGACGCCATGCCACACACGCTGTGGAGCGACGTGAGCGCTGAGAACGCACGCACAATATTCTGGCTGCGGTGGCTTTTGCGAGGAGGGAAGGAGCGTGCGATTTATTTTCTTGAAATGTTGGCGGCCTGCGGCCAGTGGGTGGTGTGGTGTTGAGGGTGCCTGGGATGAGTGCGGATTGCTTCCCGCCCTGCAGCCTCGCGTGCCGACGTGTCTTTTCCGCTGTGGATTTGTTGTTGGGGATATTCCGGCTGTGCGGGTGCGCTGGCGGAGACAACAGTGAAAGGGCCGGCGGCAGCGCGTGGGTGGTGCGAAGGGCGGCTGTGTCCTTTTGCGTCCTGCCGGTTGTTTTGTGTGGATGTTGCGCGGTGTGTTCTGACGCTTGGCAAAATCACCCGCCGTGGCTCCTGCTGGTGGTGGCAGTCGCTGTGTGTTCCCGGTGCACTGTTCTTCCTTCTCCTGTTCCGTGTGTCTGTGCGCGTGAGTTGCTGTTGTTGGGAGTGGCTGCGGCGGGGATGATGGTGCCGCTCACAGTGGACGGGTGGCTGTGCTCACTGTCTTGTCTCCTTGCTTGGCATGCTTCCTTCTCTCTCTACTTTTTCACGCACGCTAGGAAAACAAGCGCGAATCGCTACTGTGAAATTCGAAGGGACCAACAGCACACACACACACACTTATTTATATGCTCTCACTTGTTGCTGCAGTGAAGGCACCCCGCACACACAACCGTCGCCGCGTGACCGGATCCAGCGGAAGGAGGAGGGAAGGAGGAGAGGGTGAGCCGCAGAGGCCCAACATGTCCCGGCGTTTGTTTACTTTTGCGCTGCTCCTCCCTCTTGTCGTGATGATGTGCTGCGGCAGTGGAGGTGCGGCCGCTGTGGGGAGTGTGTCAGAGGATGAGCATCTTTCTAAGTGGGTCGATATTTTTGTCCCAAATAAGACGCAGGTGTTGGCAGGAGAAGATGATTCTAAAAGTGGAGTTGGGGTTTCGTTTGCCTCACCCTCTCTTGTCAGTGCTGGTGGTGTAATGGCTGTGCTTGCGGAGGGTATCATTTCATATAATCCCTCCAGTGCCACAGAAAGTTTTGTTTATCATTCCGATATTGTTGCGGGGTACGTCAACGCTGCGGAGTCGTGGCCGTCTCTTGTCGCCGAGATCAATGACGGTACATGGAGGGCACACACCGTGTTAAGTACAGTGAATGAGGAGAGACATGTGGGTATTGCGCGCTTTCCCACAACCATTGCAAAGGGCAATAAGCTGTTTCTTCTTGTGGGAAGCTACATTATGATGCAAGACACTAAGGATGATTTTTGGAAGCTTGGTGGCACGGATATTCAACTGGTTCAGGGTGAGGCCACAAAGTCTACGGAGGGCAAGCAGAGTAAATCGATCAAATGGGGCGAGCCCAAATCGTTGCTGGGACAGATTGCTCCACAGGCTCAAGGTGACTCGAAAGTGCTTTGGGCCGGCGGTGGTGGCTCCGGTGTTCTGATGGAGGATGGCACTTTTGTGTTTCCTCTGCAAAAGCGGAAAGAAAATGGTGAATTTCTTTCCATGATCATTTATTCGACAGACGATGGAAGTAGCTGGACACTCTCAAGGGGTATGCTTCCTGCGGGCTGCCGTGGCTCCTGCATCACCGAGTGGGAGAGAGGACAAATTCTCATGATTACGGATTGTGATGATGGCCAGAGGGTGTTCGAGTCGCGTAACATGGGGACAACGTGGACGGAGGCTGTCAGAACACTCTTGGGCGTGTGGGTCAAGTCAGAATCAGAATTCTTTTGGGACAAAAGTTTGCGTGCGGGAGCCCTCATCACCGCGACCATTGAGGGAAGGAAGGTTATGCTGTACACTCAGAAAAGGTACCCCACGCAGGAGCAAAAGGACAAGGCGCTCTATCTTTGGGTCACGGACAACAACCGCACGTTTTATGTCGGACCGTTTTCTGTGGACAGTGCTGAGAACAAGACGTTTGCCAACGCCCTGTTGTACTCGGATGCTGAGCTTTATCTTTCACAGCAGAGGGGCATTAAAACAGGCACAGCCGTTTCACTTTCCCGCCTGGCGGAGGAGATGAATACAGTCAGGTCCGTCCTCAGCGGTTGGGCACAGCTGGACGCCTCCTTCTCCGAGTCATTCACGCCCACGGCTGGTCTGGTTGGATTTTTGTCCAACGCAGCCAGTGGTGACACGTGGGTCGACGAGTACCGCTGCGTGAATGCAACGGTGACGAAGGCAGCGAAGGTCCACAATGGGTTCAAGTTCACGGGGCCTGGGTCCAGGGCAATATGGCCCGTGAACAGCCGGGAGGATAATAATCAGTACGGCTTTGTGGATCACAACTTCGCTATTGTGGCGACGGTGACCATCCACAAGGCTCCGAAGAAGAGCACTCCTCTGCTGGGTGCGAGTCTGGGGGAAGGTCATCCCACGAAGATGATTGGGCTGTCGTACGGCGCTGGAAGTAAGTGGGAGACGGTGTTTGACGGCAAAACAACAGCACAGGACAGCACGTGGGAGCCGGGGAAAGAATACCAGGTGGCGCTGATGCTTCAGGGCGGCAACAATGGCTCCGTTTACGTGGATGGCAAGCTCGTGGGGAGCTCGGAGACGATACCAACACTTGAGACGACGGTGCTTGAAATCTCACACTTTTACATTGGGGGCGACGAGGGAGACAGCGACAGTGATCTGACGGTGAAGAACTTCTTTCTGTACAACCGCCCACTGAGTGCTGACGAACTAAAAATGGTGACGAAGAGAGAGGACTCCGTGCGTGGAGACGTGTCTCGGGTGCTCCTGCTGCTGCTGCTGCTGCTGGGGCTGTGGGGCATTGCGGCCCTTTACTGAGAGATCACAATGAGAAGTTGCTGCCTCCAGCGGGAACAATATGCGCCTTTCCACGCCCCCTCTGAAATAATAATTGTCTTTTTTGTGTGGATGCACCGCTCATTTTATATATTTTTATTTTTGTTTTGAAAACCCCCTTTTTTTCCATGTAAGTCTTTACGAAGGGTGTGCTTTCCCTCCGGGGACTGCACCGTGGTCTTTTTTCTTTTTTTTTTGTGTGTGTGTTGAAATTTTTTGAGAACGGCGGGATGTCTTTAATGTTTCCGTCGGCCGAAGACACGTGCACTCGGTATTGAGCGCCACGACGATGGCGCAGCGAAAAAAAAAAGGTGAGGTGAAATGTACAACAACGCATGGAGTGCCCCAATGAAATGTAACTGTTGTGTGGACACCAAGGGGGTCTGAACGGACGAAGCAAATTTATATTTCTGCAGGAAGAAAATATAAGCAGTTTTCCTTTTTTTTTTTTTTTTTATGGACGTGAAAACTTCGTTAGGGCAATTTTTTTTTGTTTTAATTTTTATTTTTTGTTTCTTCAAGCGTATTGTGGGTTGCCGCTGGTTGGCTGCCGTGCCATCTCGAGCTTCATTGGACTTCTCTCTTCTTCCGTCCTGCACCTCTGCTGCGCGTTTGTGTGCCTCTTTACGTGCGCGGATCTCTTTTTTTTTTTTTTTTTTGCGCGTCTGCAGGCACACGCACGCACACAAATAACCGCACGGCGTACATGTTGCGGTGCAGTTGGATGTTCCGCCTACACTCGGTGCTGGCTGCTGCGTGTGTTTTTTGCTTCACTCAGTGGAAATGAAGAGAAGGAAGGGGGAGGCGGTGAGAGTGCGCCGTGGCTCTCATTCCCTGTGGGAATGCTGCACGGCGTGTGGCGGTATTGTTTTTAGGCGCCGCACCATCACGCACGAGGACGTGGCACGGAGTCGAAGATCTTTTTTTTTGTGTGTCTGCTGCTGTGGGTGTGGGCGCGGCTGCGTCGGACCTGTCGGCGCGATGGCCGCAGCGTGTGGTTTTCACTTTGTTCACTCGGGAAATATTCCGCGACGCTTTCACGTGTGCGTGTTTTCGGGGACAATGTGCTGGTGGCTGTGCGATTGCCGGGTGGAGGGAGAGGAGTGGAAGGAGGTGCGTGAGCGCCGCGGTCAGGAGTCGCGTTGGGTTTCTCGCCGCGGAGGGCACTGCCCACCCAACGCAGCACCGCTCCTGCCGGGCACCCTCTATCACACTGCAGCATCGTAGTCGACGCCAGCAGCACGCAGCGAGGCAGCGGATGCCGCCACCACCACGAGTGCGACCGGAAGGGGACACTTTTGTTGTTGCGTTCGGAGGGGGCACTCCGTGTGGCACAGCGGCGTGCCCACAGCTTCTCGCGGAGCCCGCACACGACACCGGGCACTGGCCGCGGAGTGTTTGCGTCACATAGGACACTTTGTTGGAGTGCCTCCTTTCAGATGGAAGGACGCCTGATTTTCCCTTTGTTTTTACTCAGGCGGATGGCTGCGCGATGACACCACAACGAGGCAGTTGTTTTCACCATGGAGGGGTAATGTCTGCAGGGTTACGCATTGGGAATGTGAATGACGGATGCAATGGGAAAAGGAGCGTCATGGTTTTTTTGTGCTGTGTGAATTGCGGAAATTTTCTATATGTATTCCTTGTGTGGGAGCTTTTCATGATGCATTGCTGCTGTGGCGTGTATGTTTTGTGATACCTGCGTGTGGCCGTCGCTGCACCGAATTCTCTTCCCACTTTTTCGTGTTAGGGGCTATGCCTACATGTATTTCTGCTGATTGTTTGCGGTAAGGGCGGTGCCACACGGGTGCGGGGACCGTAGCGAGCGGAATGCATGGGCTAACCCTCCGCGCCCACCACGGTGTTGTTGGTTTTGTTGTTAGCTTTTCCCAACACCGTGTTGGGTGAATGGCAGCCACTCGCCGTCGTTGCGGTGGTCCTCGTGCATGTGGTGTGCATCGCACGCTGTGCCGTCACACTGTGTGAATGACTCCATTGTTTTGGCTGCCCGTCGGGACTGTGCCTGTTGTTCCCATCTCTCTCATTTTCCTTTTTTGGTTGGTGGTCAGTGTTCGGCTTTAACTCGAGCCAACTGCGGGGACAAGGGGAACCAATGCGTGGAAAGCGCAAGAGAGTGCACGGTGATCATGAGGAGGGCCCTGCGTCCACTGTGCCGCGGGGAGATGGTCGGAGGGGAGCGAGGCCGGAGACCCACAGCGACACAGATCAACCCGCCAAGACTCGCAGAAGGGCGAATGAGGTGCGGCGATTAATGTGGGCTATTTACAGTCGGGTGGAAGGATACATGCTGCAGGGATTGTAAGAGTCTGTGTACAATGCGAGGTGGCATCATGTTGTGGGGGTTCCTGGCGGCGAGTGGACGGGAATGGAAGTGAGGGAAAGGAGAAACACCGCAGTCATGGACGTACAGGGCAGTTTGCATGACTCTCGAAAAGAATGACGCTGCGCAGCAATCCGGTGCATGGCCGCGTCCCAGACTGATGGTGCTCGCCTCGGACAAGGGAAGGGCCGTACTCGTGGAAATGGAAGGAGAACAAATCCACTCGTGACTGCTATGTGGACTGTGAGGTGGAGCGAGTGTGGCGGATTGTCAAGGGCGATCTCACCGAGTGGTTCAGCACTGACGGTGAGCCCTACTTTACGCCTGGGCGGCGTGTGTTGATTGGGACGCCCGGGATCGGGAAGTCGATGGCTGCCGGCTCGTACCTCCTCTACCAGCTGCTGCACTGCGATGTCGAGAAGCTCCAATGGTTGCGTGCTTTATTTGTAATTGAGCATTCCCGTTTTACAAAGCCACCCAAACTGTGCGAGAATACGTGGGTACTACAACATCTGAGAGAGTCTTTTTTTTTTTTTTGGCGGCTGTGAGACTCCGCGATCGCATTTCTGCCATGCGTGTGGCATCTTTTGCCGTTGCTCCCTCGTTGTCTTGGTGAGGGAGTGGGCAAGCGACTGCGTCGGTGTAGTTGCGCTCCAGTGGGAGAGGGAAGGCACCGACCGCCGCTGACGGTGACGGTCTTTGCTGCAGGCGATGTGACGGGATGAAGTAACCGGTGTCACAGTCAACCGAGGTGGATGAGGGCCGCACTGCGTCTCTGTCCCCTCTCTTCGTCTTCTCAGTCCACTGCAGTCACACCCGCCGCGCGGCATCTGCACGACTACCATCCGGATGTCTGTGAGCCACTCGGAATGTACAATCGGTGTGGACCCTTTTCCCCGTGAACAAGTGCTGCCGCCGTGCTTCCTTGTTCCCTTCTTTGTGCAATGCCGTGTGCTCATGGTGCCGCTGCTTACTGCACAATGCCGACTCGCGTGGACTAGAAACCACGCTTTGATTGCTGGGGACCGGCGAGCTTTTTACTCCATTTCCGCACCACCAACACCAACGCCTTTCGGACGCGCTTGATGGCTGGCGGTCGTATCGCTGTCACGTGGTCTGTCTCGGCTCTTGTGTTTTTTTCACGGCATCGGGATTGCCATGTGATGGAGCCATTCGGTAACAGGAGCGGTGCCAGTGGTCATGTTTCTTTTTTCCGGGATTCCGCCACTCTGCGCGGGGGCTTTGTGGGGCTGCGTGGGAGGTGGAAGGCGATGGTGTCACTGAAGTGATTGCGTCAGCGCGGCTTTGCTTCGGCGGCTGTGCTGTGATGGGGACTGTCTGTGACCGGATGCTTCTGCGTGCCAATGTGTTTGGTTACTGTTTTTGCTGCCTCTTCCTTTTCTGAGCGTGCAGTTAGAGATAATTTGGTTTGAGCAGCACAACTATCGTTTCAAGGTGTTAGGAATTACTCGCAGCATTAGGACTAGTAGTAGTGGGATATCGATTTATCGGAATTGTGTCGCTGGATACGCCATCTGTATAAGGGATTTGCTAGACAAAAGGTGCGGTCGACGGTGCGAGTGCGACACACCACGACAACCCTGTTGGTATCTGATTGGTTCATTGGATGTGGTCTGTGGTGGGTGCGTGTCCGCGCAGCCGTCACCGTGTGCGGTGCATGGCCATTGCGGCTATGCGTGTGGCGCTGCTCTTTTTGTTGGCGCTGGCTGCTGCTGCGGCGTGGATGCCCGCGGTGCATGCGGTGGTGTTGCGGCTGCGGGGCGGCACGGTGGACAGAGCCATCACGGTGGGCCGCGCCGTGGACACGGTGCTGATAGACGGCGTGTCCATCACGAACGGCGTGGCTGTGGTGTTCGACGTGCCGGCGATGCTTCCCGGCGCGCTGCGCATCGAACTGAGGAACTGCGTGTGCGACGGCGGTGCGCAGATCTACGTGCGGGGCTACAGCGGCGAGCCGGCGAGTGACCGGAGCCTGGAGGTGAGCGTGAGCGGGCTGTCCGGCGACTACTGCTCGCTCGCGTTTGTGCACAACCTGCCGGCACACACGAACGTGACGGTCCGCGACTCGACGATTGTGACGCCGGGGCCGATGCGCTACTCGCAGCTGAGCGGACTGACGGACGCGGTGGCGTCGCCGCTTGTGCTGCACGCGACGTCGCTGTTGCAGTCGCAGCTGCGTGTGAGCAACACTGTGCTGAGGTCGTTGCACGCGGGCGGGTCGGCGGTGCACGTTGGCGGCGGCGTGGATCTGCTGTCGAGCGCTGTGGTGCTTGACGGCGTGTCGCTGGAGGCTTCGGGCGGTCCGACCGCGTCCGCGATGCGTGTGGCGTCCTCGTCGCGTCTCAGTCTGCGGAGCCACTCGGTGTTCTCCGTGACGAACGTGTCGGTTGTGAGCAGCGGCGGCGGCATTGTGCTTGGAGAGCGTCTCGCGGTGTTTGATTCGGTGCTGCGCTTCGTGCGCGTCGAGGGGTCTGTTGCGTCGTCGCTGGTGCGCTGCGGCGGTGGGACGGTCGGTTCCGGCGGGTGGCTGGAGCTGCGCGACGTGTGGGCGGTGGGCGAGGCGTCGTCGGTGGCGTCGCTGTCGGGGGTGACGCTGGGTGGTGGCGCCGTGTCGATTGCG